TTACCAGTACAGTAAGATGATTTGTAGTTGACACCTGTTGAGGAAAACGGAAAGGTGGAAGTTGCTGGTATATAATGATCACTTGTATTTTTTGCAGATGTCCTTGTCAGTATGATGCTTTGCTATCCCCCTGAAGATGTCCACCTAGGGTCCCAGATCAACTCACCCATTTCCCACTCATACGGGTGTCTGGGTCTGCACTCCATTTGGACAGTTAGTCACCAGCTAGGCTGTTGGAGATCAGCAAACGAGTAATCCAGTGATCAATGTAGACACAGAAAGCAGAAATAGTCTTCTTTTTTGCCTTCATGCTCAAGGATCAGGCCCTTAGAGCTTGTCATAATGACCTCTGAGTTTGTTATACATTATTAGCACCTTGAACAATTCCTGCCATATAGTAGATGTTTAATAAAAGCTTGTTTGATTGGAGGGAAATAAAATGAAATTAATTTCTTGCATTCCTGAAATGGCTAACAAGGTCATTTCTTTTCTATTCTCTCTTGAAATACTCCATTGACATGTTTGTCAATTAAAGGGAGGTTTTTACCTTATATTGTTTGGTGTTGATAGTGATGATGTTCATTAGTATTATGTTGAGATAGGTAATTTGGATATTTCTATTTTGTGCATAGACCTGAGGGCATCCATGGAGATGACAGTACAGCTCCAGGAAACTAGGTCTTGTTAAACTTATTGGGCACATCAGGGTAGACTGGGCTAAACTTTACAGACAAGGGAGGCTAAGTAGGCCTTTGTTGTAATTGGCCAATAGAGGAAGGAATGGTTAGTGCAGAAGAGCAGTGAGGAGTCAGTCAAAAAGAGATCCAACAGCTGGACTTGGTCCAATTTGACTCATTCTATTCTGAATGGACCACTGTGTTGTGTGAGTAGATGATGTATCAGTAAGTAACTAGGAACCATTGGAAATTTTTGAGTTGTTGAATACAGACAATTTGGAACAATTATTAGTTTTTTTTTCTTTTTGTTGGTTGTGGGGGTATGTGTATATATGATTTTAGGAAAACATTAACCTGGCAGTCTGTGCAGATATAGAAGGACTATAGGCAAAAGAAATTGGTGGTTGTCTTGGTATCAGGTGATGGAGAACAAGCTCTGAGAGGTAGTACTGAAACCAGAGAGACAAGACCAGGTACATCATTAAAAAGAGAACTTGGAGGCTAAATGAGAGGCTTGAGAAATTCAGGAATCAGATGATTTGTCTTCTGGAATATTAGATTAATAATAAGTTGTTGTAGTGATAATTTGTTTAATCCTTTGCATTTTAGAATATAATTTCTTAAACCTCACTTGATGTACTTTTTATCTGGCTTTCTAATTTTTGTGATGGTACCTTTCTCACCTGTTGACAGGGAGGCCATCAAGGGCCTGGGAACAAAATTGACTTCGTATTTCTCCTTTAAAAGTGCACAAACATTTGTGAAGTGAATGAATAAATTTGGTGAGATAGCCAAGGGCCTAACTAATGAGAAACTTGAGACCCAGAAAGGAAAATGCCTTTGCCAGGACCCCCTCAGCTGATGAGTGGCAAAATACAGGGTGAAATTAGAATCCATATGTTCTTCCATAATGCAGCTACCAAAGCAAAGCCATCAGCTTCAATAGGTTTGAATAGCAAAAAAATGCCAGGCAGGTAGAGAACAAATAGACTTTTCTCCATGGAAAGGGCTACTATTGGATGAGACAGAATTCTAGAATGATTTTGAACTTTCAGCTTTATGACTTCAGTGTTTTCAGAAGGCTCTGTGTTAAAGGAAGATCAGTAGTAAGGGTGTCCCTGATAAGATTACTCTTTCCTGTTTGCTTCCATGGACTCAACACACTTTGACCAACTTCCCACTCTCTAGCCCACAGGGACAAGAGCTCCCATCAGAAGCAGTGTCTCAGTTCAGCCAGGCAGAGAGTTTTGCCTGGAAATTGTGAAATTCTGGCTCGAGTTCCCTTTCACAAAGCGTTAGAATTTGATGACTCAGTCTCCCCATAGCAAGTGCAGGAGGATGATAAAGAGTGTGATTGCTATGAGGCTTTGGAGAAAGAATGTGGCATAGAGGACAGTGGTCTATATTCTGGCCAAGGATTTCATCATTGAATAGTGCCATATGGACCCCCATTTGGACCTTGTGGACAAGAAGTCCTTATACTGATTATAGTGCTAATTCAGGGGGTCAATGCTGGAATGAAATGATGTTAACAGAAGACTCAAATGAAATCATATGACTTCAACCAAGTTTGTGAAAACACAGATAATGTCTGCCCTTCTATTCAAGGCTCAAGGCCAATTAAAATGACTATTCATGCAGGCTACCAGGATTTTCACACATACTGTAAACTGTCTTCTAATTTCGGATAGTATATTGCTTCTGTCTCTCACCTTCTTGGCAGATGGGAAAATAGAGTGTGGAGTCTTAGGACAGGGGAATCTAGGTTTGTATCGTGGCTCTGCTCATTATACTCCTATGATCTTCAGTCAGAAACTAAGTCTCTTTGAAGCCTCATTTTACATATTCATAAAACAGGATTTATATAAAATAATGAAAATGATAGACACTGCCAATTACCTGCCTGGCAGTATTCTAATTGCTAGGATACATATCATCTTATTTAAGTATACAACCTCTTGTGATAGGTCATGTGAACACCTATGTTGTTACCAGTGAAGAGACTGAAGCTCAGATAAGTCAACTTGCCCAAATATGTACAACTGGCAAGTTGGAGAGCTGAGAATCCAGTCAACTCTTTATTTGATAATTGAAAGTTACATGATGTATAACGTGTCTGGGTCACACTGACACATCATAGATACTCCACAAAGTTGCATCCTTTATTTTTTTTAGAAGGTGAAATGTGAACGTTTCAGATGAGACACATGAACTGGAGATGAAGGGACAATGTAGGTGCACTAAGAACATAGTGAGTGACAGCCAGACTCTGGTTCCTGTTTGTTATGTAAATCTTTGTTCTCTGACATCACAGTCAAACTCCTTGGCATCCCCATCTTCTCCTGAATAGTCTACACAGCTGCCCCTTTGCAGATAAGACATCTGGCAGGGAAACGCTGACTGCATGCCTGCCGCTTCCACCACGTCTCTGCTCCCGGTTTCTCACCACCCTCACCATATGACTCTGCACGCTGCTTCTGAATTTGAAATGTCACAGAATCCAGAGTAATAATAGTAACAGCTACACTTCAGTGAGAGCTTACAGTATGCCAGAAACCGTGCACCAGGACTTTTCTGCTTTAACCCATTGAAGCCTCAATGCAGTGCTCTCGGGAATGTGCTGTCATCATCCCTTTGGAAAGAAGAAACTGAGGCTCAGAGTTGAGGAACTTTGCCACAGTCAAACAGTAGCATTTAGATGCCACATATCAACCCATGTTTGTCTAATACCAAAGCCCAATCACTTGCCAGAGGAATTTTTATCAGTTGATAGCTGGAAAATTTTAAAGCATACAGGAGCAGGAATGTATTCAGGTATGCAGCAAGGCTGTAAGCATGTAAGGGGAAGCAGACATTTGCCGACAGCTTTTGAGCATACACTTAGATCCTCATCGGAGTTGTTCTCACGGTGTCTGCTCCACATCCATGGCCTGCTTCACACTCTGTTCACTCCATGTCCCTTCACTCAACGTCATTATTAATGAAATAGTGGTCAGTATCCTCCAGGATTATGCAATGTCAGGTAACATAGCTTCCACCTGATTAATCAGTGCAGTCTATAAATACATGACTTCAAGCTTAATTTATTTTACAATAGAAAGACTTGAACCAAAAAAAAACTTGCTACACATAAATCAGAGGAATAATGATGTTTGAAACCTCGAATTCTTTTACTGTTTCAAGAAATATAACATGTTGGTTTTATTCAAAACTGTCACAGAAGGATTTTCCTCTTATCAGAAGGCTACAGCTTTCACAGGGATGGCGTATCAAATGTCAGAGGAACAGCGAGATTTCAGGTTGAAAGAAGGAAGTGGGATGGTATAGTGCAGATGCTATAAACAATGAAAAGCTCTGAGGTCTTCCAAACAAGTAAATGCAATGAATTTATTGGAGGGCTTCAGTGCACAGAAACCTGTGGTTAGCAGTAGAAAGAAAAGGAGGTGCAATACAAATTAGCCACTGTTTTCAAGAAGCTCAAAATCTGGCAGGGGAGCTCAGAAGGGCATGATTAATGAACCATACCGAAAAGTACATCCCAATGTCGCAGAACAAATACAGGGAGTGGGGACTAGAATAGGTCAAATACATCCTACTCTCCTGCAGACTGAAAAAGACTTCAAGTAGAAGGTGGCACTGGAAATGCAACAATAGGAGATGCCAGGGGAAGTGTGCCCCATTGAAAGAACAGGAGGGGCAGGAGCCTGAATGCAGAATGCAAAGAGATATGGAGTCAAACACATATGGTTGGCTCTGCAGTGTTGAAGAGGAATAATTGGAGGCAAAACTTTATGGTTAGAAAACCTATAGAGAACCTAGAATTTGGTGAGCAACCAGGAGTCTTGGGGAATTTTGGTTAGGGAAATGGTGTGACTGGTGTTGTGGTTGAAAGCCTGATTTCCCAGTCCAGATGGAATATAGTGTCATTTGTGGAAGGATAATGTCAGCAAAGTTAGCAATAAGAAATGTATGAGAAAAATCAACTGATTGTATAACCAAATCGATTCCCCCCCCCTTTTTTTTTTATTAAATCAATAGTTTTAATAGGAAACCACTTGCTGGCTGGCAGAGTTGGTTTTTTCCTTCCAGTTAATGTCATTTGGAGTTAATGTAAAATCAACGAAGCACTACCATGCAAACGAAGCATCATTTATTCACAGACAGCCAACACTGCAAAGAGAAAGAAGCAAGGAAAAGGGGAAAATGTACAGGAAAAGAATCCATCCTTTCAAAGATGGTCCTTGTGTGGAGGAAGAAGTCCTCAGGTGGATCCAGTCCCTCAGGGAATAAGGTCCGGGAGGAAAGGCTGTGTTTCCATTTCCAGCTCCAGGTAATTTCTGCTTCCTTGAAAGAATTCCAGGTTAGCTCTCTGAAGTTGCTTGGTTTCTTTATCCATATGATAAGAAAATGATACTTACTTTATAGGGTTAAAAGAGGTAACATGTAAAATGTTTCCAACTAAGCCTGATGCATAATTATGTAAGTGGTGAATGTTATCTTATGCTACTGATTTAGTGTCAGCCTTTACTAATCTCTGATCCCTTCTCCTATCACCTTTCCCGCACTCACTGAGCCCCAGTCCCCCATATCAGGTGCATTCCTGCTCAAGGGCATTTCTATTTGCTGTTTCCTTCGTCTATGATATTCCTTCAAGTAAAATCCTCTGCCTTCTAGCTCCTGGCCACAAGAATTGCCTGCTTCAGATCCATCCTAACTAATCCAGCTAACAGTACAGCACCGCTGTTCTTCTCTACATTTAACATTCTTTATAGCACATATCAGTATCTAAGCTTGTCTAATTTGGGTATCTGTGTCTCCTTGTTTATTTTCTGGTTCCCAAAGAAGAGAGGGCAGAGATCGGGTCAGTATTTTTTAAGATTGTATTTATTTGAAAGGTAGAGTTACAGACAGACAGAGGGAGAGAAAGAGGGAAAGGTCTTCCATCCGCTGGTTCACTCCCCAAGTGGCTGCGATGGCTAGAGTTGGGCCCATCCGAAGCCAGGAGTCAGGAGCTTCTGCTGGGTCTTCCATGCTGGTGCAGGGGCCCAAGGACATGGGCCATCTTCTGCTTTCCCAGGCCATAACAGAGAGCTGGATTGGAAGAGGAGCAGCCATGACTGGAACCAGTGCCCATATGGGATGCTGGAGCTGCAGGTGGAGGATTAACCTGCTGTGCCACAGCACAGGCCACATCAGCATTGTTCATTAATATACTTCTGGCAACAGACCCTAGGCTATGGCAAGTGTTCAGAAGCTATCTGGTGGGGCTGGTGTGGTGGTGTGGCAGGTAAAACCACCCACTGGCATCCCATATGGGCGCCAGTTCCTGTCCTAGCTGCTCCCCTTCCAATCCAACTCCATACTAATGCACCTGAGAAAGCAAAAATGCTTGGACCCTGCACCCATGTGAGAAACCTAGAAGCAGCTCTAGGCTCCTGGCTTTGGCCTTGCACTACCCCAAACACTGGGGCCACTGAGGGAGAGAGCCAGCAGATGTCTCTCCCTCTCTATTTCCGTGACTCTGAATTCCGAATAGATGGATAAATCTTTTTTTTTTTTCTTAATCTGCCTATCTGCATGCTGAATTGCTATTGCTAAAAGCAGTGCTAACTTTTCCCCTTGGATGAGTCTGGAGATGGCTCATCCAAAGTGAAAAATAGACAGTTTGGAAAGACAGCAAGAGATAGTCCCCCCTAGTTAGGTTAGCATGGAGACTGCTTCTGCAGGACATTTCTGGCCTCTACTACTCTGCCCGAGCTTCACAGCCAGTGAAGGCCCAGGTTTCCTTCTTAGGAAAGAAGTGTCAAGAGATGGGCTGCTTTATGCATGAAGAGGTTTGCAGGTGTGATTGTGAGGAAAGGGTTGTCACCTAGAAAAACAGCTCTCAGCAATATTCTGGACTGTGCTCCTGCAAACTAAGGAAAGCAGAGTGGGCATTGGACCTAGGCACTATTGCTAATCTTCAGAGGAAATCCCTGGTCCAGCTCATGAGGGTATAGACTCCAAAGATATTCTGTTGAGGGCATGGATTATAATGTCAAAATATTTTCCCTATCATGCTTGAGGCTTTTATGCAATGGGATTCCAGAATAGTTTGTTGTGAAGAACGGATTCTGATTTGAAAATACTTAGTGTATACCCTCTGCATTTTATATTGAGAAGATGGAGAGTCTAAGTGTTAAACAGAAAAGCTAGGGTCAGTATTCTGGGAACTGATGGTGGTAGGGCTCTTTGCACTGCCCACACTCAGAAGAGATAGGACCTGGATGTCATTGACATGTAATCTGGGCCTAAAGTTGCTGGCCTCCAGGTTCTTGCATGGGGAAGTGTGTCAGTCCCCCCAACACAGCCCCATGCACACACAAACACAGTATCTGTAAGGAGGCACATGCTTGATAACATCTATGCAGCAACCCTGGATATAGAACTACCATACAGATTTGAATGGCTCCTTGTTTATGCCCTCAGAGTGGCTGGGCTGGATTCCCAACCTCTGCTCATGGGTGACCATGTCAGAGACCCATCATCATTCTTAATGCCCAGATGAAGGTGAAAGGCAGGAGTCCTGGAGCTCTGGCTTTACTTGTGGAGAACCTCATAGTAGACACAGAATTCCCCCAGCTTCAAACACCAATAGCTTCTGGGTGATGCACTGGGCTCCTGGAGTTAGAGAACTGAGGCATGGAGGTGGATTTTGGCATTTTATTGCATATTCAAAATTCAGTTATTAGTTTTAGACTTAATATTTACTTTCCTATATAGGTTATATAAACATGTACAGAATGCACTCATATAAACAGATGTGACATTTATCAATATAGAATTTGTCAATAAAAAAATCTATATAGGTTCCTGTTTACCCCAGAACACATTTCTGGGAACTGCATCAGAAAGTAGATATAATAAAGCCAAGGGTACTTGCCATGGAAACAAAATTAGAATCACAGGTACAAATACCTTCAAAGCCCTTCACTGCTATAACTAATAATCTCAAAAAAAAAAAAAACCACAAAGATAAAACCATCATTAAAATTGTTAATGCTTTAAAATTATAAAATTAAACTCCATGTTAATATAATGGGCACACATATACTTTATATGTTGATCACACAGGGGGACTCAGTGCATTATAAACTGTACAAATGGCCCATTTGTAATTCTGCTTTATTAAAAATGTAAACAAAATCAAGATATTACCAGAAATAACATTAAATCATAACTAGCAATAATTTACATATACTGTCAGATAAAGAAAAATCTCAAAAGTTATCTGTTTCTGTGTCTTTGTAGTCACTTCGGATAAAATTCTTGTCAACTAGTCATTCATATATTCTGCCCTATGTTTTTTCACAGAATTTAAATATAGGAATATATGTTGAATATACGTGGTAGGAATTATTTCTATGGACTGGGTACTTTTTTCTCAAATATATTATTTTACAACAAACAAGCATGTGTATTTATTCCATGTGGTTTGAACTACAGGGAAAAGCTAGGCTCATTCTTACCCAAACCAGCCAGTAGCTGACATCTCTCCCCAGCTACCCTTTTACTTTGAGAACAACAAAATCCTTTTAAATGACAGTATTTGAGATGTATTACTCTGTGTGCTGGGCAATCTAGAGTGACCAAATGAGCAGGGGTCGATTTGGAAGAGCTGGTACCCAAAGGGTGCTTCACGAATATACTTTTTCATCATAGATAGCTCATTCTCTAAACTGGCTCATCTCTTAATGAATATATCCTTAATCCTCGAGAGCTCATGTTCATTCACAGTAATCCAAAAGATCCAAGTCATAATAAACATAGGGAATGGCATTTTACGGTTTACAGAATGCTTTAACAAAAAATGATTTCTCTCTACAGCAGCTCAGTGAAGTAGTCAGGAGGAATCCTCTGAGGCCAGAGGTGTTCAGCCGTTGGTTCAAATCACTCGGCAAGTCAGGAGTGGACTCGGTGCACCTCCTGCTTTCATGCTGCACTTTCCCTGCACAAGGGGCTGGTGGAGGCAGTAGGAAGGGTGTACAGGCAGCTGGGGCAGACTGGTTGGATTTCATCACTGGGTCCAGAACTTTGAGTCTCAGAAGCTTGCTCTGCTCCCTTCTTTGGATCAGAAAACTACCATCCTCATCATGGTGCATGCCTCCTAGGGGTGGCTGCTTAGCCTAGTGACAGCAGGGGTACAGTGACTTGAAAATCAAAGGGGACCGGTACAATCACAGGTTCAGGGTGAGTTAGAACCTCAATAAACTTTCGCCATATCGGACAAGAATATATATCTCCAGTTGAATCTACTCCACCGATCAGGGAGAGTCCCTGCCTGCACCAGGAACATTTCTTCCTTGAAGATATTTCTCGCCAACATCCAAGAGTTCAAAATAACATTTGTCTTTGAGAGTTTACTCAGGCAACTTTCTCCCTGACAAAATTAAGCCTTCACAGTACAGAGAATTATATTTTACATTTGGATGGTTTGGGCAATCTTCTCTTTCTCAAAGTTTCTTAAAGTAAACATATTGGAACTGATAACTGACACTTCAGAAGCAGCAAGAGAAAAAAAAATGCTGAATGGTCCTGAGATGCTATTAAACCACAGCCCAGATCAGAGGTAAGACTTCACACGGCCCTGGAAGTACATTTAACCCCCTGGCACCTTTACTCTGAGGCAGCTGCCAAGAGCTATGAGCTCTGCTTCAAGTCAAAGACATCCAGGTTAGCCTGAAAGGTAAAGTTGACACGGTCAGGGTCTAGAGGGCCCACACAAGGAAGGCAATCCTTTTGAAAGAAAGCCAGAAGGCTTTTGAGGTAGCAAGTGGCTGTAGCAGCATCCTGTTGTCCTGGAAACATAAAGAATCTTAGAGTCGCCTAGTCCAAACGTGGGTCGACAGTTGTTCAAAGTCCGGTCCAGAGATGAGGAGCATTACTGAGGATCTCACAGCGTATTAGGGGCAGAGCCACAGGCAGAATCCAGGTCTTTGGACTTCAGATCAAACATCGTTTTCTCCCAGCACTGCTGGGCCCCGCTCTCCTGCACCTGGGAGGCAGTGGAGAGTGATGTGTCCATGCAGTGTGAGCTTCCAACAGTCCTCTTCTTTGGAAGCGACAAGGCTGAAATCAGTGCCATGGTTACACTAAGCTCACTGTGAGCTTGCAGCAAAGATCCCAGAGTCTCGAAATAAACAACTGCAATGCTGCCAGCCCTGTGCAAGGCTCTCAAGGGGAAGATGTCCCATTCTAGCATGACAGGACAGCAGGCATCTCGCAGCAGATAGGAGAGTGGCACTGGAAAGAGCTGTCTGTTGTTGGTGTCCCCAGGGTTGCCGTGGAGACCATTTTCCTCTGACAGATCTCTGCCTCTGTGATCCCGTGGTAAATAAAAGGAACATGTCCTGGAGAAAGGGACTGACTGACACCGAACACAAGAAAGAGCAAGTGGAAGTCCATAACTGACTGAGGCGCCAGCAAGGAAGACCCTCAGTTGGACCCAGACACAGGCAGGAGAGTGTCTTTGAGGCCCACCACAGGGTGATGAAAAGACATGCAATGATCTTAACATGGCTGTGATCAACGCGACCAAGCAAGAAATGTGAGCTCTTGGAACACAATTCTGACCGAGACAGGCACACGGAAGATGTGTGTTGACAATGTCTGAGCAGACACAGCAAAGAAGATCTGTTTGGAGACATTGACAATTGAGAGAGGACACAGTGAGTGATCATGTTTGGAACATGACTAATACAGACCAGGCACAGCAAGGGAACATGTGAGGGATAACAGAGCCTGTCGAGCAAGAGTGGAGACTCCAGGAAGAGGGACTGCTGTGAAAGGAGAAGTGACCAAGGAAGTCATTCTGTCCCCTGACTTTCTCAAACTCCACCTCTCGGAATCTCGGAGGAGGAGCTCCAAGTGCGTGGGATGCTTGCTCTGGTGGACAGAAGAACCTCAGATGAGGAGAATACCAGGTGCAGTCACACACAAGCCGCATTGTAGGACCTGCTCCTCTCTCAGAGGCATTGCTTTCTTCTAGGTCATTGTCTCAGGGGCCTAAGTGTCACTGGTTTGAGAAGCCACCAAGGGAGAAGTTCCTGGAGGGTGGCATTGACTCTCCCACTGGCCTCCACACTCCACTGCATCCCTGGAGGGGGAGAAGATCAGAGAACCTCAGCACTGGAATGCACACCAGGGACCATCTCATGAAAGAACCCACCCCGTCCAGGAACCCTCTGACACCATGCACACAGGTGCTAGATGAGCCTCTACTTAGGAATTTCTAGTAACAGGCCAGCCCATAATTATTTTGGAGCAACTTTAGCTATTAGAAACAGCCTATTAATGTTTAGCCAGAATCTGCCTCCCTGTAACTTCTCTCCAGTGGAACTACTGTGCCCTCCAGGCCCACTCAAAATTCTGCCTTCTGCTATTTGTATCTTCTCCAGGCTACACATCCCCATTTTCTTTAATAGTGCATTATATATTATGGCTTTTGGATTATTTCCATAATGAGCACAATCCTCTGAATGCAAGTTATTCTCTGGTGATCTCTCTTGAAACAGTACCAGGAAAGAACACAAATATTCACAGTGAGCCTGGCTTATATCATGTCCTTTTCATCATTAATTTAGTTTACTTAAAGCAATGCAGTCAAATTCAGTTAATTTCTAACAAGGCAGTATTATATTAGCAGACACTGAGTTTGTTGCCAGTTTTTATCTTTTTGACACAACAGATATCAATTCCTATGATTTATTCTAACATTGGTGCAGTCTGTTTTGTTTATTTATTTGAGCCAAAATATAGGACATTCTGTTTGTATCAGTATTTTGTTGGTTTGGTATCATTGTAGTCAGCTGACATCATCTTAAATCATTGTAACTTCAACATTCAAAGTGTGATTATTTGGCACCTATGAAAATTAGCCTTTAAAGATTTTTCAAACACATAGGAAGATCAAGTCATCTTTGTTCTACCCAGAGCTTTCAGCGTACTGTCATCTGCCTTTTGGGTTTTTAGTCAAGATAGAAAATGTTGAGCAGGATAGGGCTAAAAGAATTATGATTGACTACCCAAGATTTCCTTAACGTTAAACATGTAAATATGCCCACGAAGGAACCTGACCTTGGCAGACGTTGTCCAATGTCTTGCCAAATAGCGAGTCTGTCCTAATAGATAACAAAATTAGTTGGCATGAGTTAGTATTGTTTCATTAAAATATGACTTGGACTCAGAAATCTTTCGTGTAATAAGCAAGAATTTTGGTAAGGTCTACTTCAAGCCCTGAGTCTACAGATTCTGGAACCTAGTTTCAGTGGTTTTTTTGTTTGTTTGTTTGTTTTGAAGAATTGGGGCAATATTTACTGGTCTCTGGGATTCCAGCCTTTCCCCAATCCATAAAAAGCAACATTAATAGGTATTATCAATCAGTTCCTTTAAGCCCTTGGAATATCAAATGTCTTGGCTCAGAGACAGTTAAATGCTTTCCATGAATCCTGGACAGCAACTTCCTCCCTATAATATCCTCTTCTTTCCAGTTGGAAGTCTATTCTTATTGCAGCAGAATATGCAAGATTTCTTCCCTAAATGCTGAGTTCTAACTATTTCTGAGTTTGCTAGTTGCTCTGAACATAGCTTTTAATTCATCCTTGGTTACACATCCCTTCTTCCAAATTTTCCATATGCCATTTTAAACTGTCAGCTCTCTGGAGAACTCCGGATGTGCACTCCTGTCTTTATATGATCCCCTATGTCTTTATCTGGATGTTTATTGAATATATCTACTAAAGGGAAATGGTATGACTGGAAGGAAGGAAGGGGAGGGAGTTAGGAGGGAGGGAAAAGAAAAAAGAAAAAAAGTTATAGAAAAGAGGGGAGGGAAGAAGGATGGATTTTTCACTCTCACTGACCTAATTCCCTTTGTATCATATTTGTAATTGGTGTTATTAGTAACAAGAAAAACACCACCCATTAGAGCAGCACCTATAGGCAAGGCACAAGGCTAAGTGCATTATATTTACTTATGGATTTGTGCATTTATACCCATTTAACAGAAAATTAAACTGAGTTTCACAGTTTAGATAATTTTCACAGCAAGTATCAGAATCAGACTTTGTATTTAGGTCTTTTTTTATTCTAAACTCTTTGCTCTTAATTGTTCTGTGCTCTTGATTAAATTCAACATCTTGAGAATGACCACTGCTAAATCCAGTGCTCAGGTCCTGCTGTCTCTAGCATTTCCTAGTCCAACCATGGCTGACTCTAAGGTGGAATGAATATGTGCAGAGGTGCACATTACTTCTGTTCCACCTTTGGGAAGCTTTCAGTGTGACATGGCTCCTTCTTGCACTGCAACATCGTTATGACTGGGATGTTAACATGGAACTTTTTCCTGCTAGCCTCTCCAGCTCACCGTTGTTGCCATGTGGGCTCCTGTATTTTCTGGGATGTCTGGGGAAACTAGCAGGAAAGGGGGAAAATAAACCTGCAAAAGCAGTGTGAAGTATGAGGACGTAGAGCAAAAGAGCTAGGTGAGTCAATGTCATAAATGAGAAGAGGAGATTAAAAACAAGGCAGAAAACTGGGGAAAAGGGGGATAAGGAAGCCACAGAGGTAGGTGTAGATGTGTGTGTGTGTGTGTGTGTGTGTGAGCGTGTGTGTGTGTAAGACCCCTGAGCAGTTGGAGAAAGAAGAGGATCTCTGCTAGATGTTTCTTGAAGATTATATTGGCTTTCTTGTAAAACTGTTGTAGAGATTCAATAAAGGTTGAAAAGATCTACCATTGGCATTTGACACTCGATGCCACTCTTTGCTATTCAGGCTATGGCAACATATCCCTAGTCAGAGAGGAGCCATGGAGAAAGGACAATGACCTAGTCTCTAACTCCATGGAACATTTACAACCATCTCCTCTCAGCAGGACAAACAAGGAGTTGAGAATCGGGACAAGGTAATTCTAGGTCTTGGTTGGCCTATAACAGTTTTAGTTTATGTTATTGTACAGACATTTTTGTTAATGATTAACAGTTCAGTATTGCTGGCCTCTTAGGTCTTTACTCAAGATTTTTAAAATGTATGGTTCATTATGTTGCACCTTGAAAGACCCCCTTCTGGTATGAGAGATCACTCTTGGAACACATGCCTTTAACATTCAGTAAGTGCCTTTCACTGATAGATACGAGGTCACCCTACTAATTCAGCCAAGCAAACAGCAGAGTGCAACAATGTGAACAGTAAACCAAAAGACAGGAACCTGTGCTCTGTTCCTTTTAGCCTCTGGTCAAATGACTCTGGGGTCAGAGCCCCTTTCCTGTGCCTCACTTGCTCCATCTGTTAAAAGAGGGGGAGGTTCATCTATAAGATCCTTTGCAGCTCTGACATTCTGATTCTATGAGTAGCAGGGATGGTGGGTGACAGATACAGGCTTTCTGACGGGGGCACCAGCTGTGTGTGGGACTGTTCTCTAAAGCTGTTGGTAATTGCTTCAAATTTGGCTTTTAATATTCTATTGTTAGTATCTGATACTTTCTATTCCATGTGGAGGGAAGTAGTTTCACTGGAAACACAGGGAGGGTAATTTTTGGATTGATATTAAAGAATCCGTAAGACCTCTGAATCTGTGAAATTACATTGCAAAGCTGTTAAATGTATCTGGGTAGGATGCATAGGGTGGAACTGAGATGCCACAACTTAAAATGCAGTGAGATCACAACTGTCTCCCTGCAAACATATGCTTGATCAGAAACATTGGCAGAGTCGCTCGAAGTCCCTGATGTAAAACATCATTTAAAAAAAAAATTCTTTCTCCAATAGTCTAACAGTTGAATGTTTTTAAATGCAGTTTCTTGTTTTAATAGTTTTGGTGAAATCCTTTACAATTTATAACGCATTTGCATGTCTTTTTTCACATTTAATCTTCAATGCAAATCTGTAAAGAATGGACAGTTTTATGTCCATTTTAGAGGAGGAGGGAAATACAATCTATGAATATGGACTGATGAATGGAAGATGGTGGATCCAGCACTATAATTGTACTCTGCTTCCCAAACCTGGAATTCTATCCATTCATATCTATGAATTCATTTTTGAGGTGAAAAGAGTTTTATTTTATTTTTTGACAGGCAGAGTTAGACATTGAGAGACAGACAGACAGATCTTCCTTTTTCCGTTGGTTCACCCCCCAAATGGCCGCTACGGCCAGCGCGCTGCACCAATTTGAAGCCAGGAGCCAGGTGCTTCCTCCTGGTCTCTCATGTGGGTGCAGGGACCCAAGCATTTGTGCCAATATCTGCTCCCTCCCAGCGTGTGCATTGGCAGAAAGCTAGATGGGAAGCAGAGGATTCAGGACTCTGACCCAGGCACCCCAAAGATATGCAATGTGGGCATCCCAAGTGGTCTTAACTGCTGTACCAAACACCCACCCCTTATTTGACTTTAAATTCACTATCAATCAGAATGGGATCTTGATGTTGGAAGATCAAATGTTTCCAAGTATGGAAAGTATTCTGCAGGCAGTATGGCAGATGATAGGCAAAGTATTAAATAATTTGAGTCACAGCAAAGGGTTGAAAATTATTTTTTTCACTCAATCTGCTTATTTTAAAAAGAAAAACTCGGTTTGGTCCCATTCTGGCCGTAATAAATCTGTAATACCTAACAAATAGAGAACAGATCTCAAGCTCAGTGCCTTTGGCAAAAAACAGAATCAAGTTAAATCTTAATGACTTTCTATGATTTCATTGAATTTATTTTTAAAATCATCTTCTGTAGTTGGTTTTTCATTTAAGGTCATGATATAGAGTTTGCTATACAAATACATTTACCTAGATTAAAAATACGTTTGGGAGGTCACTGTGGCACAGCAGATTAAGCTTCCACTTCAGATGCCCACATCCTATATCTAGAGTGCCTGGATCTGAGTCCCACCTCTGCTTCCATCCAGCTTTCTGGTACTGTGCAGCAGATCATGGCTTAAGTGCTTGTACTTTTGCTAACCACATGAGAGACTCAGATGGAGTTCCTGGATCCTGGCTTCTGCCTACTCCATCCCTGGCTATTGCAGGCATTTGCAAGTCTGAACCAGTGAATAGAATCTATTTCCAATAAATGAAAATAAACATTGCAATTGTATTTAAAAACAAATAG